GGGGGGGGGCGGGGGCGCTGCGGGGTGAGGCTATAGAGCCCTGGTGCGGGAAGGGAGAGCTCCTTGCCTGGAGAGGGCTGACTGGGGCACCCCGTCCCCTGCCCAGGCTGCGGGGACACCAGGCAGGCATGGTCGGCTACGACCCTGAGGCCAAGTGCGTCTCCACGGCCGAAGCGGCTGCAGCAGGATCAGCGTCCGGCTTGGTCACTCGGGTCCTTGTCAGCCCCTTGGATGTCATCAAGATCCGCTTTCAGGTACCTTCCTCACGGCATGCGTGGGGACAGGGGATGGAAGAGCCTGTTACAGCGTAGAGCTGATCTTGGCCTGGATGAACAGGTCGCTTGTGCAGCCAGAGAGCACTGAATCTGCTCATCAGCCCTCACCTACGTTGTATGCAGGTTGTGCGAGGTAGTAGGGCTGTCTTGTGTCCACCGCTTCTGTTTCTGTAACTTAACTTGTGTGTTTGAATGGGATCTTGTCTTTTGCGTAGGTGGTTCTCTTTCTGTGTTTTTCTGAATGATCTCTGCTATCTAACTGAATTTCACCATCGTTCCTACTGATTCCCTTTGTGTCGCGTGCATGTTTTTATTCTTTTAGAGCCCTACATAAATAACATCCCCGTCAGTTCTAGATGGGATTCTGTGGGAAGGCAGAACGTCATCTCTTAGCATTGGTTGGCTGTTAGCGTTGTGAATTCCTGACTTGAACCTTGTTGAAATGTGACGCAGAATTGAAAATATTTTCTCTGTTTCCCTCCAGCTTCAGATCGAGCAGCTCTCCTCCAGAAATCCAGGGGCTAAGTACCATGGCATCCTGCAAGCTGTACAGCGCATCTTCCAGGAAGAGGGGTTGGTAGCCTTCTGGAAGGGCCATGTTCCTGCTCAGCTCCTTTCAGTTGGCTACGGCGCTGTTCAGGTAAGGTGACCGGGCATCAACCGGGCCCAGCGTACATACACAGGACTCCAAGCGTGCATACGCAGGACTCTGCTTTGCCCCTCTTCAGACTGGCTGCATGGGTAGAGGCAGAAAGGTCTAAGCTTAAACTGTACTGATGCAAGCCAGCTCCAGTCTCAAAGATGAGTAGTTGTGTAATGCTGATGTGTAATTCCCAAGTTAACATTCCTGAGCCT